TGGGCTGAATTGCACAAAACGCATGATCGCACCGGCTAGTCTGGTGCGCGTTGCCATTTATTTTGGTTACTCCAGTGAAATGATCAGACATAAAAGTACTAAAAGAGCCAAATACATTTGTTACGCCAGTGGGCTTTTTTTCAGTCTTTTGCTACTCTAACGATGGATTTTACTTTAAGTTTCTGCTTTCAAATACCTCGTAAAGGAACAAACTTTACATGGACGGTTTAAGGCACTCGGACTGCAATCGTTAACATTAACTTCTCTACCTAGAAATCAACATATCTGATATCTCCAGTACGCCAGTGGACTTTTTTAATCTTCTGCTACTCTATGGGATTTACTTTAAGTTTTCTGCATTCAAAAATGTTTCACTAAACTTTCACAAATTTTCGTGACGCAACACTTTCGTCAGTGATGCTCCTTTTCGAATCACGCTCTTTTCAGTTTCACATGAAAAAGATGAAACGCATCGTCATGCTTAGAACTTTTCCACGGTGCTGAGATAACTGAATACCGGGCCTTTTTTAAGATCCTTGCAGTGGTCCCTTCTCCCAAACTGTCAAACGTCTCCTCCGGAATTCCAGTAAAAACATGGGGCGTTAAAAAAACTAGCCAGTGGGGAATTAAGAATAACCAAAAATGCTAAAAAGGGGAAACTTCAATTAAGAAATGTTTGGCATAAACACCCTCCACATCCGAGATGCAGTATTTCTTTGTAGAAACGTTCTGGGGGTTATATGATGGGTGCCAAAAGATAATTTCAGAATTTCATTTGTATTCGCTCTCTGTGAAAACGAAGGCAGTTGCGGAATAATCCGAGTGCTAACAGCAACCATCAACTGTTAAGAGCATCAATGGCTCACTTTTTCCAGAATTATTTAAAATCAAACTTTTTTGCCAGGTTTGACCCTGCAGTGTGCGCCAATACCAATTTATCATCGAAGCGAATGAGTCAACTTTATGGTGGGGTAGGTTGTTCCTCCGGGGTGCCAAATTCTGAGCTTTCAGTTTGATGATTCTCAAAGGAATGCCTTACATAAACACGTAGCGGTTAAAAAATTAATATGCGTGGAAATACAACTAAACCTACTGATGCGGCTCACAACTCATCATCTGATTCAGGCTCCAAACGTTGTCGAATTTTTTCTCGCTCGGCGGACATGTACAACTCAGTTTTCTGGGCTACTCGCTTGCATCCGGATGACGAATAAATTGGATTTGTTTTTGGGAAGTACTGAAAAAAAAACGTATTTTTGCACACTGCACTATCGGTTCTTAGAATATCCAGCAGAAATTCTCCCTAGCTTTTTACGTGAAAAATTTCACATCAACAGCATATCTAGTTTATTTGTAACAAACCACTCCACATCTGCCTATCAGCGAAAGGCCAAGAAGGGGAAAGAAAGGGTAATCGAGAATGTCCTGGGTAAAAGCACTTTGCAAACAGCGTTTGCTGCTCGATAAGGCCCTTAGCGGTCTCCATCAACAGCGTGACAAATGACTGTAACGGAAGGAAAAAGGGCAGTGAAAAGTATGCATTTTCGCTGGGACACTTGAGGAATACTGCTTTCGTTGAAGCCTCAAGTTACCAGAGAAATGCCTGCAACATATGCCATTGGATTCGGAGGTAAACGGCCTATTTTCTGGCCATCTCAGTGATGCAGACCCTACTCCCTACCCTGCAAATTGTTTTAAGCATAATGAAACCTGTAACGAATTAGCAATCGCAGTGAGCCGGTCGTTCGTCACAGTGAAATTATGGGAAAGCATATAATCACGCACACAGAGCAGAATGTGCCGCCTTTCCAGCGGTAGAAAAGGCACAAAATGATCAATTAAATGTGCTGAGATCAGTTCGCTCATTTTTAGCCCGCCTGTAAACAAACACTGTCAGATGGGGAGCAAAAAAGACTGTGAATTTACAAGATTGCCTGGATAATCGATGTGGAGTCCCATGCTAATGACGATCCTATTACGTCAAACGGCAGCTATGATATCATGGCAAATTACCACCGCAACTAATACGAATAATATCGCCTGGACAATTGATGTGGAAATTCCATGTTAATGATGCTACTGGGATCTTCTCGATGACACACACAGCTGTGGTAGGCTCTCGAGTCCCGGGCCTGTAGCTCTTCTGCGGGTTAAGTGCATATGCATACCGTTCCGTGGTGGCATCCGTCCAATACCTCAGGTTCTTCCCAAATCCTCACCCTCCAGCTGTTGATCCGTCGCCACTGTCCAAGCCGGAAG